TTCCTTGTATGTGTATAGCAAAAACTTAAAAAATCTTCTTTGAAAAAAACCAAATAGTTAGAGTTTAGATACTAAGCATGAAACATCTTCTAGTGAGTGTCTACTAAGTTTGTTCAAATAAAAGCCTTGGGGTTAAAATAGGCCCCGCCCCGGGGTCATTCCTTTTCCTTATATGTGTAATACAAAAACTTTAAAAAATCTTCTTTGAAAAAACTCAAATAGCTGGAGTTTAGATATTAAGCACGAAGCATCTTCTAGTGAGTGTCTACAAAGTTTGTTCAAATAAAAGCCCTGGGGTCAAAATTGGCCCCGCCCCGGCTGACATTGATTTTCCTTATATGTGTATAGCAAAAAATTAAAAGTCTTCTTTGAAAAAACCCGAATAGCTTGTGTTTAGGTATTAAGCATGAAACATTTTCTAGTAAGTGTCTACAAAGTTTGTTCAAATAAAAGCCCTTGGGTCAAAACTGGCCCTGCCCCAGGTGTGTCATTGTTTCTAACTATATGTGTAAAGAAAAAAACTTGACCAGCTAGACCTTGGATGTTAAGCATGAAATATCTTCTAATGGGTGTCTACCAAGTTTGTTCAAATAAAAGCCCTGGGGTTTAAACTGGCCCCGCTCCGGGGGCCTATATACAGGTGAGCGACTTCAGGGCCATCATGGCCCTCTTGTTCATTTTTGTTAGAGTTATTACCCTTGACTTAGTATAAATTTACAAAAGAATTGTGAAAAATGATTAGTAGAGCAATAAAAAAATTCACCATGTACCTCTACACACTTTTCCAGCCTCAGAATCCATTCCGAAAAAGCACTTTTGAACTGTTCATTGGGTATACTATTTAAAAGCTGGTATAAAAAGCGCTTCCGACGGCATTTCATGTTTCGGACCGGTGATCGCGAGGGCAAGATTTGATGTGTGAATTTAATCAGTCACAAGGAGAGAGGGCAGGACTATAAGCCACTTGGTTTTGGGATAAAACCCTTTTGAGAGGTCTGTAGAACTCAATTTTGATTGAATGTAACGATTTAAACATAGATGTCTCGATTCTAAAACCGTCATTATTCCGATGTTTTTAGTAACAATTTGGAAAAATGACGGTTTTAGAATCGGGACATCTACGTTCAAAAATCACTTCATTCTACTTACTACTCAAACGGGTTTGTTTTATTCCGAAACCAAGTGCCTATGCTATAAGCGGGGTGTAGCAAAACCTCAATTAATATTCCTGCTCCTCTAAATAAGCTTAAACCGAGGCTGACCGCAGGCTGCGCATGTGCATTATCATAAGTAATTTGATCCTGCGAACCCCAGACTAGACCTTAAGTTCTTTGTTATGCAGTGATTAACTACAGCAGTGAGAACATGGTCACGCTTAAATGTTCTAGTGACACTACCCCCGTCAGTCACGGCGACACGGGTCTCTATTCCATCACCGTCAAACAGAGCGTACATAACTCTTAACGCTAAAGCTACGTCGGGCAACAACCAGGCGATCGATGTTTTCACCTACCCACATTTTGCTACTGAGTTAACTGTCGGGGTTCAAAAACAAAATAAAACAAATAAATGAATACATAAATAAAAATACAATTTCTCCCAGGCACCTAGGGTAAATAAAGCCGATGCTTTTTCAACCCGCTCCCTTTTCCGGTCAGAAGTTAACAAATGCGGGATCCAACGGGCGCACACTTTCTTTAATTTCAACTTTTCTTTCAAGATAGAAAACACAAATGATGCACTAAGGCCCGATATGTCACTTATCTCCTCCGATGTATATCTTGCATCTTCAACGACTATGGCTTTGACAGTGGTGTTGCATTTTCAGAGGTACCGGAAATAGCTGTCCAGGTCGGGGATCATCCTTTACATTAGTTCCACCTTCCTTAAACATTGTCGCTCACATGGATATTGTTCGATATGGAGGACATTTTCTCCATAATCTAGATCCGCTTTTATTTTTGACGCGCATTTACCCAATGTTTCACGAATTTTGCAATACGCTCTTTGCTCCTCTCTCAAATCACAATGCAACTCAGCCATGTTTACAACCAGTATACAAAACACATGCATTTAAATGGCCTACTAAAATCTTATTGCACGTGCAAATCGTGTGAAAATAGACTATTGGTGAGAAAAAACAATAATCTTTCCGACGGTACATTTCATGTTCAAATATAGGTTAAATTGAGTTGTTATGTCCCTCGTATTAGAAATCTATAGTTTCCGTTACTTTTGTCCAATGCTTCTGGGACCCTACAGGGCGGAATATCTATAGGTGTTTCCTTTGACCTATTGCGTGATTCGATCTCACCAGAATAACCATTTTTCCTTGTAATTAATCTCCGTACTATGATAAAACTTTTTATAAATCAAGTTTCTACTGAGCAGGTCACTTGTATTAGGTTAAGGTTAACTGATGTTTAGCTCGACTTTTCGCACTATTGTCAACGTCGGCGTCCCTGTGATTAAGTGTTTGCGTGTAAGCTGGTATCTCAATAACTACAGAAGGGAATGGATTGAACACACTTGTTCTCTGTGATTATCTAACATGATTGGCACAAGTCCCATAGCTCTAAGTATAGGTTAGAGTGCATATTGGGTGTTCTTCGTAAAGAAAGCTAAAAAGGAGCGGAGCTTGCGAAGCGACTGTAGCTTTCTTATTTACGAAGAACATCCTTTTCGACTTAGAAATTCTTGGTTAAGTTTTTGCGTGTAAGCTGATATCTCAATAACTACAGAAGGGAATGGATTAAAACTTCACACACTTGTTCTCTGTGATTATCTGACATGATTGGCACAAGTCCCATAACTCTGATTTGTTTTGTTTTTTTTAAATATTTATGCCCCTTTTTCGACTTGGGTCAAGTTTTTGCGTGTCATAACTACTGAAGGGTTTGTGCCTTTTTATGACAATTTTATGAATTCATAGTAATAAAGCAGTGATTCAACGGATAAAACATCTTAATAACAAGCCTTTGTAACTTTTTGAACATGTGTGTTGTATTCATATAGGTAAGCATTATTATACTCAATGAAATACCCTTGTGACAACTTTTAGTCAAATGTCGCTGTCCTCCGACAGCTCTTGTTTATAAACTGAAGGATTATATTGCTGTCTACTTTATAGCAACTTGAATGACATCTCTTGCACTTGAAAGCAGGTTAAGCTTGCAACAGATAGGAAACCTGTTCCCAGTAGAAGTCAAATGACTTCTGAGGGCATTAAAAGGGGGTGTTGTTCAAACTGATTTAAGATAAGGATACCCAAAGCGCTACCTGTGTCTAATTTAAGTAAATAATTTGATGCCGTGGTTGGCCATGACTTGCAGGTGACGCCGGTCAATACTGCGGCTTATTAAAATTGAAGTGTGCTATAGACTATGAATGTGTGTGTGATTCAGTGAACTTTGTAACAGGTGATGTGAATGTTTTAACAGGTGAAGCTCAAAGACATTTTATATCAAATAAGCATCATAAATTTCAGTTGAAGAATAAACATTATTTACATTGTAAGAACAATACTCGGGACAGATTTTTGTAGTTGTAAAGATTTTGTTACTATAGTCAAGTATATGTAAGGTTAGTGCGACCTAATTGTGCGTAGTCTGTCTTTTTGTATTTTAGCTACAGTTATGAATTACGGACCATATGCGAAGTTTCAGACGCTGAAATGGAATTTGATATCAGTTTACCAAGATTCTAACCTCATGCCTGTTTTTGTCTATAATAATCAATATTATGGTATGATATCCTTGCCATTTAGTCTTTATCGATAGGTGAGCGATCAAGGGCCATCCTAGAGCCCTTTCGTCACAAAAATAATTAAACTTATATGTTAATATACATTTTACTATAAGCAACGGCAAGAATTAACAAAAGAAATATACAAATGTATGTTCATATTGTAATCAAGAACCAACAGTGGCTGTATTGCACAGTATAAATCACAACAGTAACAAATAACATAATGAAATTCACCAATATTAGCCTAACAAGAGGGAAGTGAGGTCGCTCACCTGTATATAGGCCCCCGGAGCGGGGCCACTTTAAACCCCAGGGCTTTTATTTGAACAAACTTGGAAACACCCATTAGAAGATGTTTCATGATGTTAAGTTTTTACTACACACTTATAATGAAAAACAATGATCTGTCCCCCCGACAGGGCCAATTTTAACCCAAGGGCTTTTATTTGAACAAACATGGTAAACACCCATAAGAAGATGTTTCATGCTAAACATCTAAGCTCTAGCTCATTTGGTTTTTTAAAAGAAGATTTTTTAAGTTTTTACTATACACATAAAGTGTAATATCTAAACTCTAGCTATTTGGGTTTTTTCAAAGAAGACTTAAGTTTTTGCTATACACATATTAGGAAAATCAATGACCCCCGGGGCGGGGCCAATTTTGACCCCAAGGCTTTTATTTGAACAAACTTTGTAGACACTCACTAGAAGATGTTTCATGCTTGATATCTAAACTCTAGCTATTTGTTTTTTTTTCAAAGAAGATTTTTTAAGTTTTTGCTATACACATATAAGGAAAATCAACGACCCCCATGGCGGGGCCAATTTTGACCCCAGGGCTTTAATTTGAACAAACTTGGTAGACACCTATTAGAACATGTTTCTAATATCTTAGCTCTCTAGCTCTTTGAGTTCTTTAAAAGAAGATTTTTAAAAGTTTTTACTATATGCATATAGGGAAAATCAATGACCCCCTGGAGCAGGGCCAATATTGACCCCAGGGCTTCTTTTTGAACAAATTGGTAGACACTCACTAGAAGATGTTTCATGCTAAATATCTTAGCTTTAGCTCTTTGGGTTCTTTAAAAGAAGATTTTTAAGTTTTTACTATATGCATTTAGGGAAAATCAATGACCCCCTGGGGTGGGGCCAATTTTGACCCCAGGGCTTTTATTTGAACAAACTTGGTAGACACTCACTAGAAGATGTTTCATGCCAAATATCTAAGCTCTAGCTCTTTGGGTTTTTTAAAAAAAAAAAGATATTTTAAGTTTTTTCTTTCGGTTGCCATGGCAACCACAGTTCTGCATGGAATTAAATTCTTTGAACAATTTTTAAAGGTGACCAAATTGGCTTAGTGGTTTATGAGGAGATGTCATTTAAAGCAAAAGTTTACGGACGGACGGACGCCGGACGAAAAGCGATCACAAAAGCTCACCCTGTCACTTTGTGACAGGTGAGCTAAAAATTGATTTACATATATTAATAATACTTAAAATTATCAACATAGGAGCACTGCTCGCGATATCTTGTAAAAAATATTGTTTGTTTAAATTATAATAAAATCATGTTTGCTGTTGCTTGTTTGCAGAAACTTGTTCGTCAGATGAATTTTCTTATTGGTGTATACATTAACTGACCAGCAGCATTTTAACCAATATCTTCACAGCATGTAATTGTCCTTTTCAGTGTAACTCGGGTTACATTTTTTCAGATATACTCAAATCAACCCACTCTTTTTTAACTACATGTACTGTTCAGTCAGTTATTAACGTGAAAAACTTAAGATATCACTTAAAAAGATCTGGCAAATAGTGATCTACAGAAGAATTCAATCATGAATATTTGCAGATATACTTGCTAAGAATTCCGAGTTTTTTTTTCTAATTTGAAAACATTTGTTTTTGTGCAGTCATATTTGTAGATATTTATACAATGAAGTCTAGAATTTACACAGTTCTGAACCCTTCACTCATTTGCTGATGTTGCACTATACATGATGTCAGTGCGCATGCAGTATTTCCTGCCTTCTAGAAGGGCAGAACCCTCGTGCATTATATCGTGCTGAAAGACCAACACCATACCTGCAAGGGGAAAAATCAAATTATTTCATCAAAATTGAGCTTCAAATTATTTACAAAAAACATTGATTTTAAAAACCAACAAGAAGCAGGAAAATGATTGTGATATTTTATATCCTCTGACAGTATATTGAATAATTGTTACTTGATAAACACTTAACCTGGATTTGTAGGAAATGTCAATTATCAATTTTAGGGATATTTGGGATGCGGAGGCTGGCCTAGCTATAGACTGGTGATAAGGACTACATGGAAGCGCAGACCGATATAATTCGATCTATATTGGTGACAAAGGCTTATCACCAGGCCCCGGTAAAGGTAACAATACCTTCCAATCATTGGTGTAAATTAGATATAATTAAAGAACATTGTTAAAATGTGTTAATATTTCCTTTTTAAAATCAAAATGTTTATATGTTTACAGCAAATCATCCAAATATTTCTGTGTGTCTCACTCAAAGTTTAAATTTCATTTAAATCTATGTTTGGCTCAATGGATGAAACTATGATAATTTATATACAATGTACTATGTATAATTATAAAGTAATACAAAATGTACCAGTTTCCGGTACAACTTCCATTCTCTCCAATTCCTCGAAACACATGAATGTTGTGCTTCCACCTTTAAACCCCTATCAAAAGAAAACAGAGAACACTATACCAGCGGCAATTTCTTTAAAAAAATATAAAGGCAGGGTAACGTATTCATAATTTCACATGTGATGTAACAGTGTGCTGAAAGGAAGTAGAAAATCCTTCCGATAAGTGTAAAATATATTATTTAGCTCATACATGTATTACTACAGCAGGGTTTTCGTGCACAATTTTTAGTACATGTAAGTGGTAAAAAAGGCATCAAATCAAGGCAAATTACCCTGCCAACACTTCTGACGATACCTTAGTGTGACATCAATTAACCCATTGCTTCATGAGCATTTTGTGAAAAATGGCTGTTTTCATTGAAAAGTCTCCCGTTACAAGTTCAAATTGCTATAATACTATAAAAACTGCTTCAACACTAATCAAACTTGGCACAAATGTTGACTGGACCATTGCCCTTGCAACAACATGCTCAGGCTTAAATTTTCTGTTACCATGGCAACGAGGGGACATCTCAAAATTGCCAAAAATCACTATTTTGCGTTGATTTTTTCCATCAAAATTGATTTCAAAGTGCTGCAACTTCTCAATGGATTGAGATAGAGTCAAATGCTTTTCAGCGTTGGTTACACGTTACCTTATGATCAATCTGGGGTCATTTACAGCCTCTCACAAGTCCAAAATTTTCTTGGCGATGACGGGGGACTCCGCCCCCCTTCAAACCCCCCAAACAGAAGGGGGCACATCCCCCTTCTGGCAACCCCCTGATGTATCTTTTGGTTGGGGGGCCGCGCCGAAAAAGAGGTCACTTTTTTTAACAACATTTCTCAAACAAAAACAAGTGTTTGGGGCCTAAATAAGGCATTTTTTCATCATTTGAGACAACAAAAAGGGGGCGGGGGGGTGAAAAAAGGCGTTAAAGGCGTGTATATGAAGTAATGGGTTAACAGAAAATGATGAAAATACTTGAAATTACCCTAAATCGCGTTTTTTCATGTTTAAACATGGCCTGTCATATAAATTTGAAGAAAAATTGTTGTTTTGCAGATTTTTTAATTTTTTTTCATTAACCCATTGCTTCATGAGCATTTTGTGAAAAATGGCTGTTTTCATTGAAAAGTCTCCCGTTACAAGTTCAAATTGCTATAATACTATAAAAACTGCTTCAACACTAATCAAACTTGGCACAAATGTTGACTGGACCATTGCCCTTGCAACAACATGCTCAGGCTTAAATTTTCTGTTACCATGGCAACGAGGGGGACATCTCAAAATTGCCCCAAAAATCACTATTTTGCGTTGATTTTTTCCATCAAAATTGATTTCAAAGTGCTGCAACTTCTCAATGGATTGAGATAGAGTCAAATGCTTTTCAGCGTTGGTTACACGTTACCTTATGATCAATCTGGGGTCATTTACAGCCTCTCACAAGTCCAAAATTTTCTTGGCGATGAGGGGGACTCTGCCCCCCTTCAAACCCCCCAAACAGAAGGGGGCACATCCCCCTTCTGGCAACCCCCTGATGTATCTTTTGGTTGGGGGGCCGCGCCGAAAAAGAGGTCACTTTTTTTAACAACATTTCTCAAACAAAAACAAGTGTTTGGGGCCTAAATAAGGCATTTTTTCATCATTTGAGACAACAAAAAGGGGGGGGGGGGAAAAAGGCGTTAAAAGGCGTGTATATGAAGTAATGGGTTAAGTGACCTGAGTTCTACTCAGGTGCCCTTTCTTGTCGGAAGTAATGCCCTTCACAACTTTGCCATATTACAATAAACAAAAACAAAACAAAAGTACGGTGTCTATTTTGACCAAAAAAAGTTGTAAATCAATGTATTTCAGTCATCAAGTGACTGGCCGTTTTGTTTTGTTGTTTAGCACCAAATATGGGATTAAAGTCTACACAGGTTAAGATAATTACCTGGTTTAGATATAATTGTATGGTGACAAAGCTTCTCTCTCCGTTTTCCCTCATGTAAAAACCATCCATATGTGGAGCAAAATATTCACCAGGATTGTACTTCAAAAATCTTAACCTTAAATTATACATTACAGAATTATAAAACTTGTTCTTGCTTAATCGTTTATATATAATGTACTTTAAGAACATTCGTTGAATTGGACGCAGCTATTTAAAGCTACTAATTAAAATATGTGGACACAAACACATTTTAAGAGACAACTTTTCTCATAAAATCCGCTAAGGAAATAGTAAGTTAATAAACTAGTCTGTCTTCACTGTTATTTTACATGTAGTTCACTAATTGAAAACTTTTCAAAAACTAAGTACATGAACTGTACCTTTCGTTTAATCCCATTACTTCTCTGTTTCGCCACTTGTCAGGTATAAATTGTTTAATCCTTTGCCAGATATTGTCTGCTTCTTCGAATGAATCCCAAATACATCTCGTGTTGTTTCTTACATCTTTCATCATCTGTTGCCTGGTGTAGGGAACAAGCGTTAGGAAGTTTTTAAAGCAACCATGTTTTATACTGTAATGTTTATTTACAACAGAAGTGGTCACCTTACATATTTTCGGTGACTCGCACCTTTAGAACGACAGAGCGTGACTGTTATTCAACGCATGTAGTAAACCGCACGGCTTTTCACGTGCATTCATTATAAGTGTGCGAATGTTCACAAAGGGACCACGATTTTAATTCTCCTTAATATAACATAGCAAGCGGTAGAATTAAAGGGAGACTTTGCAACAAACAACGCATTAATGCCTTGGTATTGTAATAGTTTTTGTAGTTAGATATTTTTCTTAACATGTAAAAATATATATAAAGGGAAATAATTACTTCAAATATAATTGTTGAGTATTTACATTCTACATTAAAATAAAGGGAAATAATAATAAACATTTCATTTTCAAATTAAACACAGCTTTGATATTAAATTGTTTTTGTAATTGTTAAAACAGTATATTATTATGAAATTCTGATGAATGGTTAAAATTTTGGTGTACTTTGAGAAATTTTAAAACCATGTTAAACATTATATTGTGAGTTAAATATAAACTCCTGTTTGCATTACTGTAATCGGTGGATTTCTAATTGGATTGGACATAAGTATATAGTTACTGGTCCTAAGTTTGTGGTAAGGTAATGGTAAGAAGCCTGAGGAAAGTTAATAGTAACACCTCGATAGGCTACACTGCCACTGATGAAGTTGTACTAACTAACACTTCAGACATTATATATTTGATGAAATCATATTGAGTTAAACTGTACTTTGGGAATATTTATGTATTATAAATGAAATTTAATCTTATTTCACAAAATTAAATGTCATTAATTTGATCTGTTTTGTTGTTACTGTTGCTAAATTAGGCCCAGTGCTCGAACCATTCGGGGCTGTAGTCACCCCGCAAACTAATCCGGCTACATTTTGGCGTCCCTGGGTGGGCCTATTTATTTAGCATATACAGTAATTAAAAATTTGATTTGTATTTGTATTCAATATTGATATATTCATTGATAGTCAAAGATATTGTTTGAGTTGATATTTATTGCGTACTTTATGTTTGTTGCTTGACTAGATAGTAGTTACGATGGCTTATAGGAATCCACCCCCACGTTACGCAAGCACCCCTACTGCGGTGACTTCGACATATGTGTCTAGCCTTGTAGGACGACCATCTTATGCTGATCAAAATCTGACTTTTCATTTACCTGCTAGTACATATGGCCTGTTTAATGACCAGTCCCTTCAGTCCCCTCATACATCATTGAACATGCCTAGATATCCTATATTAAGTAGGTCATCTTATGTTGCTAATGTTGCTCGGGCTCCTGTACCAAATGCAACAGTTGTATCTTTTCCCCAATCAAGAACCGTGCTTAACTCAGGAAATGTTTTCAATAGTGACTATTTGAGTAATGTGCCTCTTACTTCTAATCAAAACAGTACAGTTGAACCAAGAGCCATAGGCATATATTCTGAACCAAAACATAAGGAAATTGAACCCCCTTCTTTTAGTGGCAAAGAAAGATGGATAACCTTTGTCAATACTTTTGAAGATATAGCTAGATTTAATAAATGGGCCTCTGAAACTATTACATTGCGTTTTAGAATTTGTATGAAGGATGAGGCGCGATTTTATCTTGATACATTACATCCTGACCAGAGTGAAGATTACTTTAGCTTGAAGGGGGCATTTGAACAACGCTATGGTGACAAAACAAGTATAAGTGCTTACAAAAATCAGTTTAGGCGTAGACGTAAGAACCCTGGCGAGAAAATTGACGCATTTGCTTTTGAGTTACGTCGATTAGCGGGTTTAGGTTACCCTGGACAACAGGGCACACTGTTAGATGAAATAATTTGCAATCAATTCATTGAAGGGATAGGGAATTATGATTTTAAAAATTATTTAAGGCTTGAAATGGAGAAAATCAATCCCGTTACTCTCGAAGCACTACTTAAGTTGGCTCAGAGCTATGAAAGTGTCATGAACCCGTTTCAGCCAAATAGAGCACAGGCTAGGTCACAAGATTATTACAGTCAAGATCATAAGTTAGATTTACAGTCTGATAATCAATTTAGATCTCAAGACAAAAATAGATATCCCGAAAGAGACATTCGCAGGATAGTCTGCTATCATTGCCAAAAAGAGGGTCATGTAGCAACCAGGTGTCCGGAAAACTCAAACAGGCTGAGCTAAAGGCCTCTAGCTCAGCCTCTTCCAATAATAGTAGGCCTTATAAATCTGTTACTTTCAGTGAGGACACGAAAAATCTTAACTTAGTTAATTCTCAAGTCAATACGCTTAAGAATGATGATACCCACGGTGAAGATAATAAAAAGAGTATAGCTCCGTCATTGCGTGTTTTTCATAAGGAGAAGACGACTCTTTCTCCCGCAAAAGTTAAGACAAAAGAATATTTTGAGGCAAATAAAGTTAGAACCGCTGTAGTAAGAAATAGATCTAGGTCTCCTTCTCCTATTAAGGAAACTAAAAATTCATCTGATACTAACAGGATAGAAACAGTTAGTCCATGTACAGTCCCTAGTTCTTCACATGCTTGCTGGTACTTCCATGCAGTAGTTAATGGAGAAAAAACACGTTCACTTTTTGATACCGGTTCCCCTTGGTCTATATTATCAAAACAATTCTATGAGCAGTTACAAAACAAAAAGCCTACTTTTAATGTAGTTGATGAGAAACTTACTGTAGCCAATGGGTCTATCCTCAACATACTCGGTAAAGCTATTTTTCAATTCTCCACAGAAGCCAAGACTTATGACTGGGAATTCCTTGTTGCCGATCTAAAGGGGAATAACTGTCTTGTAGGACAAGATTTCATTGCCAAGCATGGGCGATCATTGTCCTGGAAATCTTTAGAATGGCAAACTAAAGCTGGCATAGTGCAACTTCACAAGCTCAGCTCAAACTGTGTTGGAAAGGTTTCACTATTACAGAAAACTATTGTTCCTCCACTGTCTGAGATACAAACTTTGACAAAAGCAAATTATCCCTTGTATGAGAACAACTATTTGATAGAACCTTTTAAAGAATCCCCTAAGAAAGGTCTTTTAATAGCTAGGAGTCTTGTAGCTACTGATGGAACGCATGCCTGTTGTGTATTTAATGCTACAGATAAGCCTGTTGTACTAAAACAAGGTCAGACCATAGGTACAGTCAATATGATAGAACAAGTGGTTAATACAGAACAAGAAAAAAATTTGGATTATGCCAATTCTTTGCCTGAGCACTTGAGGCCATTGATAGAGAATATTTCTTCTGAATTGACAAAAGATGAGAGGTCTAGATTTACAAACTTAATTATGAAATATCAAGATATATTCGTAGGACCTGATGGAAAATTGGGTCAAGCTAAATTCGCTGCTCATAAAATCAATACAGGTGAGGCACGTCCTATTAAGGTCCCTCCTCGTAAATATTCACCTGCTCAAAGAGAAGTGATAGAAAATGAAATAGATAAAATGTTGGATCAAAATATTATTCGTCCAAGCGATAGCCCTTGGTCATCTCCTATTTGTCTTGTAAAAAAGTCAGACGGGAGTTGGCGATTCGCTATTGACTATAGACAGTTGAATTCCGTGACTGTAACTGACGCTTATCCATTACCTAATACTCAGCTAATTTTTGACACTTTAGCTGGCTCAAAATTTTATAGTTGTATTGACCTAGCTTCAGGATACTGGCAGGTCCCTATGCATCCCGAAGATCAGTGTAAGACTGCATTTGCAACACCAAGTCGTGGCTTACACGAATTTCTGGTTATGCCATTCGGATTAGTAAATGCTGGTGCAACCTTTGAAAGACTAATTGAACTTGTTCTAGGGCGCTTACAGTGGCGGAAATGTTTATGTTATTTAGATGACGTAGTTATTCCTGGTCATGACTTTGAAAGTGCCCTCGAAAATCTCACAGAAGTGTTCGAAAGATTGAGACAAGCAAATCTAAAATTAAAGCCTTCCAAATGTAAATTTTTTCAAAAACAAGTTTCATTTTTAGGCCATGTTATTTCAGAAAAGGGAGTCAGTTGTGACCCCAAAAAGATCTCGGCGGTAATAGATTGGCCCCAACCAGAAAATAAAACTCAGATTAAAAGTTTTCTTGGTTTAGTCAATTACTATAGGCCTCATATCCCGGATTGTGCCGAGATTTGTCAACCCTTAACAGAACTGACAAAAAAGAAAGTACGATTTCGCTGGAATGATGAGTGTGAAAAAGCCTTTAATCTACTGAAATCAAAATTAACTGAATCTCGGTGTTAGCATATCCTTCTCGAGATGGCATTTTTATTTTTGGAAACGGATGCCTCAGCCTTCGGAATAGCTGCGATTTTGTCACAAATACAGGACAAGCGGGAGGTAGTCATTGCTTACGCAAGTAAAGCTCTCTCGGCTTCGCAACAAAATTATTGTACTACCATGAGAGAATTACTTGCTGTAGTAACCTTTGTCCGCCATTTCAGACATTATTTACTTGGTAAACGCTTCGAAATACGTACAGATCATGCTAGCCTCGTTTGGCTTAAAAATTTTAAGGATGCTGATGGAATGTTGAGTAGATGGCTTAGCATATTATTTACTTTTGACTTTGAAATCGTTCATCGTAAAGGGTCTCATATGAAGCATGTTGATGCGTTATCTAGATCAGTTAAAAATTGTAAACATGGGCAATGTGTAGACTGCGCACCTAAAAAGACGGATTGTGTCTTATCTTGCCACAAAATTGCATTGGGAGGGTCAAAACAGTCTACCTCGCGACATATAGCAGACGGTGCGGTTTCAGGCCTTGAGCTTGAATCACCAGACAATGGGTCTGAGAATACTAGTACTTTCGCGGTCGAAAGTGGCACTGCTATCTCCGTAAATACTATAAGTAATGAGTCTGAGAGTTGCCCTTTGACTAATTGGGTGGGATCATTCGGAAAAGATGAGTTAAGAAAACTTCAACTTGAAGATCCTTGTATCAGTGTCATTTTATTGGCTAAGGAAAATGACAACATTCCCACTAAAGATGATATTAAAAATTTTGATTCAGAAACTAAAACATTATGTTTACATTGGGAATTGTTAACCCTACATGACGGAGTTCTTTATAAACAAATGTTTTCTGATTTCAGTACATATCATGCTTTGATATTACCACAAGTGCTAAGAAAAGATGTTTTTGATCAGTTACATGTTAAAAGAATCTCGGGACATTTTGGTAGAGATCGCACGTTAGAGGCTGTTAAAAAACGTTTCTATTGGCCGAATATGTCTGATAGTATTAAAAGATGGTGCGTAGAATGTGACTTATGTGCAAGATGTAAACCTGGTCCTGGGGTCGGAAAATCCCCGCTGCAACAATTTTCAGTCAGTAGACGATTTCAGGTAGTAGCTATTGACATTTGCGGTCCTTTGCCAATTTCAGATAGCAATAACGAGTATATCATGGTTGTCGGTGACTACTTTACCAAATGGAAAGAAGCGTTTGCAATACCTGATCAAACGGCATTTACAGTAGCGGATAAGCTAGTTACTGAAGTAATATGCCGATTTGGTTGTCCAGAACAAATACATACTGACCAAGGTCGAAATTTTACTTCCAAATTATTTACGGAAGTATGTAAGTTCTTAGAAATAGACAAAACCAGAACCTGTCCTTACAGACCCCAGAGTTGATGGCCTTGGGCGATTCATGGCGTAAGCTTAAACAAATGTTTTCCCACATTTTTGCTGTATGATAATCAAATAACTTGGGGACGAATATTTACCTTTTATCTCATGAATTGGCATTAGGGGAACAGAGCCCTAAGTACCAAATGTACTCCAAAATATGTTTAATGTTTGCTCAAGGGAAAAATAAGATGCCCCTTTTGATTTGATGTTATGGTTTCTCCACCAAATCAACCAGGAATTTGTATGTTCCCCGTACCGTTATGTTAGAGTTGGGTTACAGGCTTGCATAACCATTAAAGCTTAATTTTAAAACGGCCCATAGAAATATATTAGGTTTGCTGCAAAACATCAAAGAAATTTGACCCATGATTTTAAAACCTTTCCTAAAATAAGGAGAGTTTCAAAAGAAGGTGTTATGTATGGCGCTGGTACCCACCTAATAATAACCAAAAGTTAGAATTAGGTTGGATCGGTCCATATAAGATAATCATCAAGAGATCAAGTCTAGTTTATGCTATACAAAAAGACCCAAACGCTAGAATCATTCACGTACATGTGGATCATTTGAAGCTGTATTCAGGAGCCGAAGCACCCAGTGCTTGGCAAATTGAGAATTGCTCAGCTACTTATAATGATGATAACCATTATGATATTGATAACATTGAGAGTGATGCTGAGGACATTGCTCCCCTAACTCCTGTGAAATCTCGTTTTGGTCGCTCGATAAGACCTAGACAGATTTACAGTCCTTAAATAGGTAGTAAAGTACAGACACAGATAGTAACCAAATCGCACTATTGTTCAACATAACATTTTGTTTTAATGATTTTTTTTTTTTTACTCATTTTTTTTATAGATACCATATATATTTAAAGAGATACCTTATGTAGGTATAAATGTGATGTTGAGTTAATGTTCGTCCACGCGAGACCGATCAATGTCTGGGTGCTTGCGTGACGTGGCCATAATGAATGTATATTACTATATATGTGTATACATATATGTGATTATATATAATGGGTAAAATAAGACATAAAAATGTCTAGGTACAATGAATATGTAATTATCTTTATATTCATAATTAGGAAAAATATCCATATGATATTTCAAAATCGTTCTTTTTATTTTGTTTGTATATCCAACTTACTGTAACGTTGTTTTAACATATCAATATAACAAAGCGACTTCAAATATGGTAGTGGTTAAACATGTTATATGTCAAACATGTTTATTTATGTATTAATGTATGCATACTGTTCATGTAATTTCTACTGAACTTATCATCAGTTGTTTGTTTTTTGTTAGATATAAACATGGACGAAATAGTCTTAGATGAAGACACGTCAATTCCTGGAACTCCATTCCCAAAGCTAGGAATGTGCTGTGAGGTTTGCAGCATGCAACAATCTGAAAGTATTTCGGACATTTTGCCAGTACAGGAACCATTTTAATGCATATTATGTGCCTCTAGTGAAATTATGGATATGTCCAGGATGTAACAAGACCTTTGCTTATAAGCGTAATCTTCAGGCTCACACAAGTCATAAACAGACAAAATGTTTCAAAAAGCCTATTACTATTAAGTCTGTAAGAAATGAAAAATATATCGATCCTGAGGGAATTTCCATGCCAGCCTACAATACTTATGACAATTCCAGGGTAACTAAGCAAGAGAGAATAGACCACGACAAAAAGTGTGGAAAGCTCAAAAGGGATGCCTGCAGAGAATACGCAGAGAATAAAACAAAATGGCAAAGACTTGCTAGAGAAATTGGCCACTGTGGACAGTAATGTTAATCAATAAATGCAATTTAATATGTTGTAAACATTTGAAACTTATTAATTGTTGTTGGTTATTATTGTATATTGTGAGGGCATTTACATTTTTGTTATAAAAAAAATGACATTTAATATCATTTTTTTTTTATAAGGGGGGAGGTGTGTAATAGTTTTTGTAGTTAGATATTTTTCTTAACATGTAAAAATATATATAAAGGGAAATAATTACTTCAAATATAATTGTTAAGTATTTACATTCTACATTAAAATAAAGGGAAATAATAATAAACATTTCATTTTCAAATTAAACACAGCTTTGATATTAAATTGTTTTTGTAATTGTTAAAACAGTATATTATTATGAAATTCTGATGAATGGTTAAAATTTTGGTGTACTTTTGAGAAATTTTAAAACCATGTTAAACATTATATTGTGAGTTAAATATAAACTCCTGTTTGCATTACTGTAATCGGTGGATTTCTAATTGGATTGGACATAAGTATATAGTTACTGGTCCTAAGTTTGTGTGGTAAGTAATGGTAAGAAGCCTGAGGAAAGTTAATAGTAAACACCTCGATAGGGCTACACTGCCACTGATGAAGTTGTACTAATTAACACTTCAGACATTATATATTTGATGAAATCATATTGAGTTAAACTGTACTTTGGGAATATTTATGTATTATAAATGAAATTTAATCTTATTTCACAAAATTAAATGTCATTAATTTGATCTGTTTTGTTGTTACTGTTGCTAAATTAGGCCCAGTGCTCGAACCATTCGGGGCTGTAGTCACCCCGCAAACTAATCCGGCTACAGTATTTATAAAAAAAGGAAACGTTTTTTTCTGTTCTGTTTTCATGTAAATGTTATTGTATACAGTTAAATGAAATGATTTTGTATAAATAGATAAGTAATTACCTTCCTCCCCCGATATTTACAAGCGCATCTGTATATCCCATCTTCTCAGTCTTCTTTATGTAATCTTTACATTCCTAAAATCGAGTTATAATGTATAACTTGTATACTATATATGGCAAAATGTCCATTGCAAAAAAGTACCTCTTATATAGTTCAATGACCAGGACTTTCGGAGGGAATTAGAGTCTATGTGTTTAATAGGAAATTAATACATTAATTAAACAATCTTAGACCTCTCTTTCTGGGTTGATGACATTAGGCCTATAAATATATTTTATGGTTTAACGTTGATGATAATTAAGGAGGGTATTTCTACAGTGATAAATTATATTAGAATGATATCGATCTTATTGAAGAATGTGCGTCTAAAAATTGAACCAACTTGATCAAAAACATAGCATACCTTTTCTGTTAAAACGTTCCGTAAAACAAAAGCTAGTTTTCCTTCGAAATCTTCTGGTAATGTTACGTCTTCCCGAGTAATACGATTGTCATGTTCGTGTATACCTTCATCACCGTGGACTTTAGAGTCTTCATTCCCGTTAGTTCTAGCCTCTTCATTTACGTCACTACTTTCCTCTGAGTTAATGTTTATTTCTTCAACACCTTGACATAATGTTTTACTGGTTTCGGTTTCGTCTATTAAATTCGGCTCCATTTTATCCAATGACAGATATAATGACACGCAATAAATAAACGGTTTATCCCGGTACCTATAACTTAACTAAACTCAAATGGTTAGTAACGTTATAATGTCACAATAGCATATATCAACAACCGATGTTTAAAAATAGACAGGATTGTCATAAATCTATATAGGCTATTTGGCGATTATTATCGATCGGGTTTTTGGACATAGGTATAATTAGAATTATGTGTACTTGAGAAATGAGTCATTAAGAATACTGCATTGATTAAAAATAATCCATTTCAGGCATTTGATTTGATCTATTAGAATCTATTCAATATTAATAAAATAATTTGGAATTCCTCGCCAAAACCCAACTAAAGTGAACTGCACGAAATAAAAATATATATTCATATTTCAACGTCTATAATAATACACTTATTATAGACGTTGAAATATGATTTTTTTTTTTCAAAACGGCTTATATTAAGTTTTTTTATATATATGATCAGTACATGTGCTGGGATTGACAAATATGCATTTTATTTGGATTTTTAAGGCGTTTTGAGCTCCACAACTCAAGTGTCTGTGGAGAAAGTGGGAGTCTCCCACTAAAGATGGGAGAGTTCACATGTATGGACATGGACACCTGCTTCCGTATGTTTTGAGTGAATTTTTCATAATTTCTAGAGATTTAATTAATTAGTCAAAATCAATTTTTTAAAATGTGTATAGATTATTGATCTACAAAAAATATCAACGCTACATCAATATTGTTTCTATCGATGATTTCTATTGTTGATGATACAAAATATTTTATGTTTAGCGTTGAACACTCAGCTGCATTTGAGTGGTAAATCTGAAAAACTGTAAATCTAAAGATCAGGAGGTTTGTACCCAGGTCTGTTACAGATTGTCGGTATAAATAACATGCTCACTCACCCCTTGGTATACCGGTGCCTCATATCTACATGGTACTTAAATGTTTAACAAACACAACAAAAGTTAGAAGAATAAAGTTGTGAATATTATCATGAATGTTGAGGGAAAGACATGTCAGGGTATATATCATATATCAAGAGTCTAAGAAGGTGATTAGCTTGGGATATAGCTCAGTTGGTTAGACCACTGACTATCACTCCTGAGGTCCAGGGTTTGATCCTGGGTAACACCCTTGGGACTTTTCAGAGACACTTTCAGTGTTTCCCACCTACTTAGATTATTCATACCAAACCATTAATGATGCTGATGTTTGAACTAAGAGTAGCTATTAAGTTGGATTTAAGTTACATATAAATGTCCATGAATTAAGTTATTTGATAAAAAATAAATACTTTGATAAAAAAGATAATTTTAGGCATCTTTACTGACTTTTATTGGTTATGTACATATCAGTTTAATCTTTCATTGCTGAACACTATTTCATCATTTAAATTTATGTATTTATAGTAAAAGATTTAAATCACGGTGCATATCCATATCGTTACCCTCTTTGCGAAATCTGCTCCAACGGTACCCTCTTTGAACATGCACAGGTCATTCTCTGCTAAAACAAACCAGCGGTGGATAACAATCCAGTAACAAGGAAAGGAGGTATGACACGTAGAAAAGATGTATACCACGGAACACTAGAATGTTTTATTTATGTGTTAATTTGTCATGTGCCCGATTTTCATGTACTGCAACTTCACAATAAGCTACAAAAAATCGACATGTCTTGCCTCGCCCATCATCTCAACATATTTTTTGGGCTGAAATGAACCTGTGGCTTGATTATATATGCATCATAAATATTTAATATGTTCATATACATATCATCTTCGGACAAATGACAGTGTATTGTCAAAAATAAATGAAAAATTCATAAAAACACCATACTTTCGGTTTTGCAGCGGCACGGGCTACCTCTCTTCATTTGAATTTTTATATCACAGGTACCCTCTCAATTTTTAACACATAGGTATCTTCAAAGCAAAACATATGCTTTTATTTGCGTTATTCGTTAAGTATGTATGTAATATTTCTCACTTATATGTAAATATTACATACTCAGCGATTAACGCAAATAAAAGCAAACTACTCAAACGATTTTTTTTTATCCCGAAACCAAGTGCCTCTGCTATATGCGGGGTGTAGCAAAACTTCAATTCCTGCTCCTCTCAATAAGCTTCGCTAGCTGCGCATGTGCATTATCATAAGTAATTTGATTCTGCGCACCCCGGACTAGACCTTAGGTTTTTTGTTATGCAGTTATAAACTACAGCAGTGAGAACATGGTCACGCTAAAATGTTCCAGTGACACTACCCCCATCAGGTACGGCGACACGGGCCTCTATTCCATCACCGTCAAAAATAGAGCGTACATAACTCTTAAAGCTCAAGCTACGTCGGGCAACAACCAGACGATCGATGTTTTCACTTAACCACATTTTGCTAAACGGGTTCAAACAAAACACAGAATTAAATAAATAAATGAATACATAAATAAAAATACATTTGTACAATTTCTCTCAGGCATCTAGGGTAAATAAAGCTGAGGCTTTTTCAACCAGCAGAAGTTAGCAAATGCGGGATCCAACGGGCGCACACTTTCTTTAACTTCAACTTTTCTTTCAAGATGGAAAACATACATGTATAAGATGAAAGGCCCGATAAGTCACCTAGCTCCTGTGCGGTTTATCTTGCATCTTCAACAACTATGGCTTTGACAGTGATATTGCATTTTCAGAGGTAGCGGAAATTAGCTGTCCAGGACGGGGATCATCCTTTACATTAGTTCCACCTTCCTAAAACATTGACGCTCACATGGATATTGTACGATATGGAGGGCATTTTCTCCATAATCTAAATCTAGATTCACTTTTATTTTTGACGCGCATTTACCCAATGTTCCACGAATTTTGCAATAAGCTTTTTGCTCCTCTCTCAAATCACAATGCAACTCAGCCATGTTTACAACCAGTATACAAAACACATGCATTTAAATGGCCTACTAAAATCTTATTGCACGTACAAATCGTGTGAAAATAGACTATTGGTGAGAAAAAACAATAATCTTTCTGACGGTACATTTCATGTTCAAATATTGGTTAAATTGGGTTGTTATGTCTCTCGTATTAGAAATCTTTAGTTTACGTTACTTTTGTCCAATACTTCTGGGACCCTAGGTGTTGCCTGTGACCCATTGTGTGATTTGCTCTCACCAGAATAAACCCTTTTCCTTGGAATTAAACTCCATACTATGATAAAACTTTTTATAAATCAAGTTTCTACTGAGCAGGTCACTTGTATTAGGTTAAGGTTAACTGATTTTTAGCTCAACCTTTTCGCACTATTGTCGGCGTCCTGTAGTTAAGTTTTTGAGTATAAGCTGGTATATCCATAACTACTGAAGGGAATAGATTGAACACACTTATTCTCTGTGATTATCTAACATGATTAGCACAAGTCACATAACTCTAATTTGCTTTTGTGCATAATTATGCCCCTTTTTCGACTTAGAAATTCTTGGTTAATTCTTTGCATGTAAGCTTGTATGTCAATAAATACTAAAGGGAATGGATTGAAATTTCAAATATTTGTTTTCTGTGATAACCTAACATGATTGGCACAAGTCCCATAACTCTGATTTGTTTTTTTCATATTCATGCCCCTTTTTCGAAGTTCTTGGTCAAGTTTTTGCGTGCCATAACTACTGAAGGGTTTGTGCCTTTTTGTGACAATTTTATGAATTCATATATAGTAATAAAGCAGTGATTTACTCGATAAAACATCTTAATAACAAGCTAGCTAAAGAGGCTTCAGCGAACAGGTTTTATCGCAACGTCAAAATAAAAGCCACATATAAAGTTATGGAAGCCAGAACTAATAACAAGCCTTTGTACCTTTTGAACATTTTTGTTGTATTCATATAGTTAAGCATTATTATACTCTATAAAATACCCTAGTGACAACTTTTTCTAATAGTCGAGCGTCGCTGTCCTCCGACAGCTCTTAATTTTGTTTATAAACTGAAGGATTGATATTGTTGTCTACTTTATAGCAACTTCAATGACATCTCTTGTACTTAATTCCTAAGCAGGTGAAGCTTGCAACAGATAGGAAACCTGTTCCCAGTAGAATTCAAATGACTTCTGCTCATGAGGGCATCAAAAAGGGGTGTTTTTCAAACTGATTTCAGAAAAGGATACCTAAAGCGTTACCTGTGTCTCATTTCAGTAAATTATTTAATATTTGATGCCGTGGTTGGCCATGACTTGCAGGTGACACCGGTTAACTGCGGCTTATCAAAATAGAAGTGTGCTACAGACTATGAGTGTGTGTGTGTGATTCAGTGAACTTTTTAACAGGTGATGTGAATGTTTTAACAGGTGAAGCTCAAAAGACATTTTATTTCAAATAAGCATCATAAATTTCTGTTAAAGAATAAACATCATTTACATTGTAAGAGCAATACTCAGGACAAGTTGTCAAGTTTTGTTACTATATTCAAGTATAGGTAAGGTTAGTGCGGCTTAATTGTGCGTAGTCTGTCCTTTTTGTATTTTAGTTACAGCTATGAATTACGGACCATATGCGAAGTTTCAGACGCGGAAATGGAATTTGATATCAGTTGACCAAGATTCTAACCTCCTGCCTGTTTTGTCTATAATCATCAATATAATTGTATGATATCCTTGCCATTTAGTCTTTATCAATAGGTGAGCGATCAAGGGCCATCCCGGCCCCTTTTGCACAATAATAAGTAAACTTATATGTTAATATACATTTTACTATAAGCAACGGCAATAATTAACAAAAGAAATATATACAAATGTATGTTCCTATTGTAATCAAGAACTAACAGTTGCTGTATTGCACAGTATAAATCACAACAGTAACAAATAACATAATGAAATTCATCAGTATTGGCATAAAAATTGATATACATATATATACATATATTAATAATACTTAAAATTATCAACACAGGAGCACTGCTCGAGATATCTTGTAAAAATATTGTTTATTTGAATTACAATAAAATTACGTTCTTGTTGTTTGTTTGCAGAAACTTGTTTGTCTGATGAATTTTCTTATTGGTGTATACATTAACTGACCAGCAGTATTTTAACAAATATCTTCACAGCATGCAACTGTCCTTTTCAGTGTAACTCGGGTTATATTTTTCAGATATACTCAAATCAACCCAGTCTTTTCTAACTACTGTTCAGTCAGTTCTTAAAGTGAAAAACTTAAGATAACACTTAGAAAGATCTGGCAAATAGTGATCTACAGAAGAATTCGATCATGAATATCTGCAGACCCTAACTAAGAATGCCGTTTTTTTCTAATTTGTTCTTGTAGATATTTGTACAATGAAGTCTAGAATTTACACAGCTCTTAACCCATCACTCATTTGCTAATGTTCGCACTATACATGACGTCAGTGCGCATGCTATATTTCCTGCCTTCTAGAAGGGCAGAACCCTCGTGCATTATATCGTGCTGAAAGACCAACACCATACCTGTAAGGGAAAAATCGAATTATTATTATCAAAATAGAACTACAAATTATTTACCAAACATTGATTATAAAATCCAACAAGAAGCAGGAAAATGATTGTGATATTTTATATCCTCTGACAGTATATTGAATAATTGTTACTTGATAAACTCCCAACCTGGATTTGTTGAGTTTCTATTTTAGGAAATGTCAATTATCAATTTTAGGGACATTTGGGATGCGGAGGCTGGCCTAGCTCTAGACTGGTGATAAGGACTACATGGAAGCGCAGACTGATATAATTCGATCTATACTGGTGGCAAAGGCTTATCACCAGGCCCCGGTAAAGGTAACAATACCTTCCAATCATTGGTGTAAATTAGATATAATTAAAGAACATTGTTAAAATGTGTTAATATTTCCTTTTTTCAATCTCAATGTATTACATGTATGCAGCAAATCATCCAAATATGTCTCTGTGTCTCACTCAAAGTTTAAATCTCGTGTAACTTTATGTTTGACTCAATGGATGAAACTATGATAATTTACATACAATGTACTATGTATAAATATAAAGTAATACCAGTTTCCGGTACAACTTCCATTCTCTCCGTTTCCGCGAAACTCATGAATGTTGTGCTTCCACCTTTAAACCCCTATCAAAAGAAAACAGAGAACACTATATCAGCGGCAATTTCTTTTAAAGAATATAAGGGCAGGGTAACATATTCATAATTTCACATTTAATAAAACAGTGTGCTGAAAGGAAGTAGAAAATCTTTCCAATAAGTGTAAAAATTATCATTTAACTGATACATGTATTACTACAGAAAGGTTTTCGTGCAATTGGTAAAAAAAGCATCAAATCAGGGCAAATTACGCCTGTCACCTTTCTGACGTTACATTAGTGTGACATTAATATAGTGACCTGAAGGAAAGTTGGTTCTTCTACTCATGCAGGTGCCCTTTCTTGTCGGAAGTAATGCCCTTCACAACTTTGCCATATTACAATAAACAAAAACAAAACAAAAATACGGTGTCTATTTTGACCAAAAAAAAAAGTTGTAAATCACTGTATTTCAGTCATCAAGTGACTGGCCGTTTTGTTTTGTTGTTTAGCACCAAATATGGGATTAAAGTCTACACAGGTTAAGATAATTACCTGGTTAAGATATAATTGTATGGTGACAAAGCTTCTCTCTCCGTTTTCCCTCATGTACATACCATCCATATGTGGAGCAAAATATTCACCAGGATTGTACTTCAAAAATCTTAACCTTAAAATAAACATTACAAAATTATCAAACTTGTTCTTGTTGAATTGTTTATGTAATTATTGTACTTTAAGAACATTCGTTGAATTGGACGTAGCTAATTAAAGCTACTAATTAAAATATGTGGACACAAACACATTTTAAGAGACAACTTTTCTCATAAAATCCGTTAAGTAAATAATAAGTTAATAAACTAGTCTGTCTTCACTGTTATTTTACATGTAGTTCACTAATTGAAAACTTTTCAAAAACTAAGTACATGAACTGTACCTTTCGTTTAATCCCATTACTTCTCTGTTTCGCCACTTGTCAGGTATAAATTGTTTAATCCTTTGCCAGATTTTGTCTGCTTCTTCGAATGAATCCCAAATACATCTCGTGTTGTTTCTTACATCTTTCATCATCTGTTGCCTGGTGTAGTGAACAAACGTTAGAAAGTTTTTACAGCAACCATGTTTTATAATTTACTGTAATGTTTATTTACAATAGAAGTGGTCACCTTACAGATTTCCGGTGACTCGCGCCTAAACGACAGAGCGTGACTGGTAAACAGTACAGCGCATGAAGTAAACCGCACGGCTTTACACGTGCATTTATAACAAGTAAGCGAATGTCCAGGATTAAAATTCTCCCCAATATAACATAGCAAGCGGTAGAATTAAAGAGTGACTTTGCAACAAACAATGAATTAATGCCTTGGTATTATATAGATATAAAATAACAAGTTTTTTGTGTTCTATTTTCATGTCGCCTACGTGTTATTGTACATTGTATACAATGGTTATTGTATAATGTAAATTGAAATGATTTTGTATAAATAGATAAGTAATTACCTTCCTCCCCCGATATTTACAAGCGCATCTGTATATCCCATCTTCTCAGTCTTCTTTATGTAATCTTTACATTCCTAAAATCGAGTTTTGAATTATAAGAATACATGTATCTATCTCTCCATGGATACTGCCAACCCCTCTTACGAGTGTTAATGTAAAGGCAGGAATTAAGTGCACGTCGGATTGTTAACTCATGTATAACTTATATACTATATGGCATAATGTCCATTGCAAAAAGTACCTCTTATATGGTTCAATGACCAGGACTTACGGAATGAATCATGTCTTTAAATAGGAAATTCTGAGTTGATGACAATTAAGGCCTGTCTCTAAGGAGGGTCTTCCTAAAGTGACAAGTTATATTATTATGATCTTATTGAAGAATATGCGTCTTAAGCTAAAATATGAACCAACATAGCCTACCTTTTCTGTGAGAACGTTCCGTAAAACAAAAGCTAGTTTCCCTTTAAAACAATCTGGTAATGTAACATCCTCCCGAGTAATACGATTGTCATGTTCTTGATAACCTTCATCACCGTGGACTTTAGAGTCTACATTCCCGTTAGTTTTAGCTTTTTCTTTTACGTCACTTTTTCCCTCTGAATTAATGTTTATTTCTCCAACACCACGACATAATGTTTCACTGGTTTCGGTTTCCATTTTATATGTAATGACCAGAATTATATCACAGATATCTTGACAGGCACTAAATAAACGGTTTAAAAAAATGTACCTATTCCTCACAAAACTAAATTGGTTAGTATAATGTCAGAATAGCATATTTATATATTAACCACTACAATGTTTAAAAATAGAGAGGATTATCATAAATTATGACTCATATTGGATCTATATTTGGCGATTATTATCGATCGGGTTTTTGGAAATAGGTGTAATTAAAATTATGTTTACTAAAGTAATGAGTCATTAAGAATACTGCATTGGTAAAAATAATCCATTTCAGACATTTGATTAGATCTATTAGAACCTATTCAATATTAAAATAATTTGGAATTTCTTGTCAACACCCATCTTAAGTGAACTGCACGAAATAAAAATATAATGCAGTCACCGTAAAGATGCGGAAGTAAACAAAAAACATTGTTTATTTATAATGTTAAATTCAGTAAATATAAAAATGTGTCATCAGAAGTTTGTTTACGCACTCGCCTTATTAATATCATACTTATCAAGTAAGTATAGTAAACCAAAAAGTTAAATTATAAGTGTTTACTATGGAGTATGGAGTGTCCTTATCTCCGGATACGTACAATTGGGATAAAACTTAACAGCCTAAACAGGCATTGTCTATTCTAGGAGGAGGATGGGGGGATTCACTCCCTTTTTTTAGAATTCCCCCCTATTTTTTCAGAGACAGGGGAAAAATTTTACATAAAAAACGAAGGAAAAAATTCAACAAATGTAATAAATTCTCATTTTTTGATAAAAGTATCTCTGTTTTTCAAATCCTAGCATTTTTTGATAAAAATATCTCTGTTTTTCAAATCCTAGAGTAAACACTGAACAGGCGTTTTCGAATATTTGAATAATTGCCTATAATTACTTGTCTGTCAATCACTAATACGTGATTAAATAATTTCATTTATATTATTAACATGTTCTGTTCAGTGTCTTGCATGACTTTTTTCCAGACCATTCTTTTTCGTCATGATTGTTGTGAAATATTTCTACTATATTACAACAGCATAATGTTAGACAACGATGCCTGTTTTCGTATGTTTTGGGTGAATTTTTCATAATTTCTAGACATTTCAATTATTTGTCTTTTTTGAAATGTGTATTGATCATTGATCTACAGAAAAATATCAACGATACATCAATATGGTTTCTATTTATGACAGCACTTGCTAATGATACAAAATATTTAATCTTAAGTATCGAAAACTCTGCTGACATTTGAGTCGTAAAGCATTGTCATTGCCAACTGTTAATCTAAAGATCAGAGGATTTGTACCCAGGTCTGGTCCAGATTGTCAGTATAAATAACATGCTTGTGGCATGAAATTGTCATGCTCACTCACCCCATGGTAATCTGGTGCCTCTTATTTCTGTGTTATTTAAATGATTAACAAACACAACAAAAGTTAGAAGAATAAAGTTGTGGAAATTACCATGAATGTTGAGGGAAAGACATGTCCGGGTATATATCATATATCAAGAGTCTAAGAAAATGAATAGCTTGCGATAGCTCAGTTGGTTAGACCACTATCACTCCTGTCAGAGGTCCAGGGTTGGATCCTGGGTAACACACTTGGGATTTTTCAGCAACTTAAAAAAGTTGCTGAAAAATAAAAGTTACTGGACATTCATTGAGGTTAATTATCACTTTTTTTCTTTTTTTTGGGTGGGGAACACCTTGTGCCACTATAAATGGTTTCAGGTGAACTGAAAACCAATATCTTCTCTCTTGCCCTTGGTACATGTACATCATAGAGAAGACACAGGGCATCGGTAGAAGATTTGAAGACTTTGGATGGGGCTAAAGAGCGAAACTTGTGCTGCGGACCAGCTGCCGATGTCGTAACTAAAGCCAAGGGGAGTGGCCCTACAAAGTACTTTTAAGTAGGCTTCAACACGGTAAGACGGCTTGAACGGCAGGCCTTTTGCTGGCACACACAGCCCTTTTCAGGTCTACCCTTTCATATTGTCACAGGTTACTGTACATTTAGGTTCTCATTGACCACCGTACAGTGACCTACTAAAAATTCATATCTTTGGCTAATACTCAATGGAAATTGCATGGTAAGTAAATTATCACCACTTTGTGCTTCAAAATTAAATCTTTACGGGAGTGACAGGTGACATGTCTGGGGTCTGTATTAGACAGCGAAAGATGTTTCTTGTGCCTGAAAGGGCGGATGGACCCTCATTAAACATTATCTACATACATACATGCATTGGAAAACCAATATTATGTTGTTTTGTGTTTTTTTCAGTTTGTGAAGCAGAGTTATACTGCTATGTCTGTAACACGGCAACAGGACTATACTCAGATAAGTGTGGGGATGACTTCAGATTAACATCTGTCAATGCTGTGTCATGTCGGGATGGTACTTGTCAAAAAACAAGAGGATTAAGAAGTAAATATTGTCTGAATAATTGAAGAACTTTACTTGATTTTGTTACATGTAGGCATTAGAAGTATCAAAATACCATCATCAGTGAAAGTTAAACAAATTGTTGATTTTTGTTTGAAAAAAAAATGTTTAAAGTAATTTTTAACAAATTAGCTTGAAGTAATAGAGTCAATTTCTAATTGGCAAGATTGTTTTGCCAGTTTACCTGTCCGCTATATATATAAGATAGCATACAGGTTCAGTGGTATTTTGTTCTGATGACTTCTTTTATATATATGGATTGTGGATATGTAATTCAAATCAGTTTTTTTAGTACAACAAAATAAAAATTAAATGAATATTTCTCATATTGATGATTGATAATTATGATTGTTTTCTAATTCAGCTGAAGGTTCTAAGAGAGTAGTTGAGGTGACGAGAGGGTGTGTACCATACACACAGTCTACCAGCTGTAGAGAAGGCAGCCATTTTGGAATATCAGCAACAATATGCACTTGTAACGAGCCATACTGCAACAGTGCTGATGGTCGGATTCCGTCTAAATTCTTTTCCTACTCTGCAGGACTTATACTTACACTAATTATGTATTATATCTTGTGATGATGGCAGGAATAAAGCATAATGTTGGTTGTGATCACATGATTTATGCTGCATAATATATCAGGGAAAAGGACAAAAGATGAAAATACCTGAAAGAGTCAAAGTGCTTTGAAATCATTCATACTGTAACAGTTTCTGTAAATCCAAAATCAAAAGTTGATTGTTGTGAATGAATGCATCATCTTAATTTATTCATTCAAATATATCAAATTTATTCAAATATATCAAATTTTCATGGCTGTGGAAAGTACACATATCTACATGTTTTATATCCTTTTACCAGCATTTTAAAGTATTTCTGTAATATTGTGTCATTATGTTATTGTTTACGAGGCATAGAAAACTGGCTTGCTGTTATTTGTTGTAGACAACATATATTTACCTAACACACCATTAAGGTATAGTTTATGGAAAGGGAACTTGAGACAGGAACTTTTTAAGATTTATTTTCAGCATGTTTTGAAAGAGATTGAAAATGTATAATATCCAGGTTACACAATACACAATCATATTGTTTATTTCATCATTTTTGACTTATTGCTAGAATGTAGAGTTATGTATGCAAAAGTGACAATTGAAGCTACTTATTCTTAGTTCAAGTGATTTTTTTTTTTACTTCATTCTAATTTACTGTTAACACGGATTTATATTACATTGTAATTTAAATCCGTGCTGTTAAGAATATTCATAGTGTTGTTCAATGCCAGCTTATTTACATGCAATAATTGTAGAAATATGTATTAATTTTCTACATTTTCTAAATCCACTCTGGCATTGACCTGTTAACACTTTTTGAAAAACTAATTTCACATTGGTTGTTGTAAGTAGCTTTAAGAAATATGTATTGTTTTATTAATGTTCTGTACACTGGCGTCTTGTGATAACTTAAATACATATCAATTTGTAAATTATCTTTATCATGGATAGTAATCATACATTGATGATTTAAAAATCTGTACATATATTTTAATAAAATTCTATATTTTTAAAAAAATTATGTTTTCAATACCTTAATAAATCTGTTGAAGTTATGTGTTTTTTTACCAGCATCCTGAATTTTTGTAATGGATTTGCTCAGTTTTGAATTTAGAACAATCCATTCAGAGTCAAAGGAATTTCATTATGAAAATACAAATATCGAGAAACTAACGGTATAGAGCCTGATCAGCACTGAGTCTGGCTGACAAGGTGTTTGGTTCTAGCAAGTTGATTCAATCAGAGTAAAAGCAATCAAATTTACGATAATAACAGAAACAGGGAATTTGCATGTGTATTCCAACTTTTATCTCGATGTCAATTTAAGTTCAGTAAAAGCTTGTTAGACAGTGAATGAGATTGGGGTATGTGATCATAACTGTAAGATATGATAACCTCACTTATTCTGACTAAAGAATGTAGTTAGTTATTCAGATAGAATGTGTGCATCATTAGTACATTGACAATGGTCTATGATAAACTGAATAAGTTATCTGCTTCATATAAGCAATTGCTTGGCACCCACAGATTTATGCAACAATGGTTGAAAAATGTCAAGAGCTCTCATTATTTGGACTTAAAAGGATAGCTGACCATTAAGAGACTGTCTCTAATTAAGTAGATGATGTTGTAATTTTCAGGGTTGTCTGACCTTCACATATGATTTAAGGAAGTCCAAGCAAAATTCTGTTCAAATTGCTCACAATCTGACAGTAGAATTCATGGCTTATGTATCAATTTTATCAATACGATTCTGAATCATCACTTAGAAATCTCACATCCTTTAATGTATACCTTAATGATTTGTCAGCTCATTTAAATTCAAACCATGAGGTCAAATTATGCTTTAAGGTCAAGTTATACAGAAACAACAAAACAAAATAAAATAGATTATTCCTTTTAATTTAATCAACATAAGAATAACAAAGATCCCCTAGACAATTTGAACCTGCAAAGATAAAATAATCAATCACAGACATATATAGACTGAATACATTATTTGTTTGAAGAATAATTACATAAATATTGATTTTGGTATCTGATGGCAGCTTAGTGTATTAACAGGTAAACCATTGATATAGTAAAGGTAAACCATTAAAAACATGTAGAGTATCATCAAGTCAACTGCTGATTTCACTCATATTTTCAATAACCTTTCAGTTGTTATTTTTTTGTTTCATCAAAGTGTCAACAATATTTGAAGTCCTAACCTAAAGTCTGAACTTAAAATTCAAGACTGATATACTATTAAATATTCTCGAAGCGTTTCTATTTAAAAAAAAAAAAAAAAAACAGTATGAAAATTTACATGTTGTAAACTATCAATACCAATTAATTAAAGGTCAATTATAACCTTTATTTTATCATCTACAAAATAATGCTATTTAAAATAAATATTTTGAACTGTTCAAAAACAGGGATGTGAGTTTCATCAGAACTTCAAACTTGTAATAGAAAAACAACTTTTTTCGAATTCAGTATTTCATAACCATAAATCACTCACTGGATTATTCAGTTTAAGTAGTTAGTACACTTTTTGATCCATCAACTTGTTTTTGTTATGACTTGTTATCATGTTGCAACATTTTATATGAGGAAGAAATCTTTATGTTACAGAGGAGCAACGACTACAAGTAATTCAACAAAGGTTTTGACATCATTCTCAGTATAGTAGAACTAACAAAAATTGCCTCTCTATAACATAAATAACTATTTTCGTCTTGAAAAAACAAACACTTAAATTGATTATATTGATAAAACCTGTATTTTAATTTGTGAAACAAAGTGTAACTGTAAATAAATTTTTTATATTGGAAGTGCCATACTGACATTTCTCATCTTATATAATCTTATATTCTATATCAAACTACTTCTGGATATTTTGACAAAACATACTTAAAATACAATTAAATTTATGACCTCTTAACAATTTACAAATCCCAAGGGATGGCAAACAACTGTCAACTAAGTGATACCTTTAAAGCTCTTGTTTCTTAAGCATAACATCCTTATAAAAAGTAAACATCCTGTGGAATAATTATTTAAGACAATGTATTAAGCAAAACTTCTTTGGCTAAGGTAACAAGTATTCCTGTATTTTGCTCCAATACCGACTAGTTTTCTGTGTTAAAAAAACTGTCCCAGCTTGACATTTTCACAAAAAGTTTGTTTTATTTTTCAAATAAACAGTCAAGTAAGACATGTTATTAAAAGATTCACAAGATACCACCTGAACTACATTTCCTGGACAAATATACCAAAAGCTTTGTCAATATAAGGTGTCACCAGAAACACCAAGTATTAAAAAAAGATGATAGAATGAAAAGAAAATTGATGAAAATTTAAGAACATTAACTACATATGAAAAGCTACATATGAAAAGACAAATCAACAATTGTGATTAACAAAGAAGATATAAAAGAAATATTGTCATGTAAACAAAATATTTTTTTTTCAAAATAATACAGCTCTGCTGTTTTAATGACCTGTCAATACCAACAGTTACACATAATGTTTATGAAGTTTGTATCAGAGGAATTTACAAAACTAGTTTATACTTTCAACAACATGTTCAGCACAATGCACATTTCTGTTAAATAAATAATAATAGTAACAGATTTCTTTCAAATTCTTTGGGTTTAAAACAAAGCTAAGGCGTTGAAGAGGATAAAGTCATCTAAAATTTGGAGACTGAAACAAAACTTAAATAAAATTCACAATATTTCATTTGTGATATATAAAAAACTAAACAAAACAAAACAATCATTTCCTAATACTGTTGTAACACAAGAGCAAATGAAATTTAGAAAAAAGATAACATAACTGTTTAAGTGTTATTAAACTTTTGACAACTGACAAAAAAGACTGGAGAAGTTCAACAGAACAATTTAATAACCTTGATGTCCCAAGAAAGCAGTCATATAAGGCGTGTTTATTATCTAAATATTTGCTGGCCTACCTGTCAATTTAAATTCATACCTTAATACTTGACTTTGGTTTATAAAATAGTTCACTGATTCCTATGAATAATCAGTAAAAAAATCATAAGTAACTTAGCTTTCTTTGGTTACTGGAACCTTGATTAGAATAAAGAGCCATTTTATTTTATATGTAAAGTTGCTCTGCTCATCCAGCAAATTTTGGTTCATTAATTATGTATCAAATTTGTTCTCAAACAAGGACTGGTGTCAAAAATAATAAATTCAAATTATACATAATAAATGACTGGTATAATAATTAGTGAATGAGATTCTCTCTTTCATACTGATGATAGGAAAAACAGCATTTTCTCATGTATATACATTCATTTAACTAAGACTACATCTTGTCTTCGGCTCTATTGAAACATAAACACTGTTGTTTTAAATGCATTTGTGTTTAAGAAGTGTACTTCCTATATGTGAACACCCGTGTAAACATTTATATCTATAACATTTTGTAAAGTATAGAATAAATTTTTAACAACCTATAAACTACACAGTGAAGGCAGCCATCTTTCTCAACCTGGCCCCAAGGTTATAAGCTCAAACTCAGATCTCAGGTATTTGATTGGTTAGAGACTGTCACAGAATGTACATTGACCAATGAAAATCCTAAGATATGAGACAGAACTTAAAAAAAGTTTAATTACCTTTTGTCTGGTTTCAAAACAAAAGATTTAGCAACCAGTATGAACTTTGCATAGCAATATGACCAGTTTCTTTTAGAAGAACACCTTAAATAAATTAAAGCAATGCGCATATATCACAGTGTATAGCTGTTTTCATTGTGCTTTTGGACTTTTATTAATGCGCCAAGCACCAAGAATATATCTTAAACGTATCAATAACAAGTCTCTACCCATCTGTAGCCAGCTCCATACTGGAATCATCTTGGAACCTAAAAGTAAATATAAAATATATATTTCTTCTACTAAACTCGTCATTCACACTGATGATATTCATTATCCTTAATACAACAATTAGGAAATAGATATCAATTCTGAGTGCATTGTTGTAGAATAATGCACGGTTTGAGTTCAAATGCGTAGTAATATAATCACGAAGGCCGATAGGCCTGAGTGATTAATTACAAAGCATTTGAACGAAAAACGTGCATTATTATACAACAATGCATGAAGAATAGATATCTATTTCCATTCTAACACGTCAAGAAAAAATATAATTATTATAATAAAGTTGGACTTTATGTTTGGTGGATAAATTTGTTTTCGCCTCAGAGTTTCCAATAGAAACGTTCTTTAAAGGCTGTTCCAGTGGGTTGAAAAAAAACTGTCGTTAAATCTACCGTGTGTAGAAACATTTTGAGAATAACGAATTTTGAAAACGTTGATAAATCTTTGTTTGTTTATTTTATTTTACTCTATAATTTTTCAAGCGAAATACAAATTATTAAAAGTGAAATAAGTGTAAAACTTAACTCGTTTGCGACATTAAAATAGCGTACTTGATTTGATTGTTGTGCACGTGCTGTTTGGCGCTACATTGTGACGTCACGTAAACAACACTTTAAACGTCTGTACAGCGTTAACGACTGAATTAAAGATATTGGTGTTCGGATTAATTTTCTTAGTTAGACCATTTTCTTTCATTCTAGATAGTTTTCACAGCAAAATTCGACAAAAAATTGTTTTTATTTATCATATTTTTCAAACAAAATGGCGCCCTCAATGTGAAAATACACAGGGAGATGATAAGCACGGCGAGTGCATTGTTGTAGAATAATGCACGCTTCAGGCCTTCTTTGCTTATATAGAAAAATTTCCGATAGTGTTAGAATGATAGTTATAGGTAGTTAACAGTAGTACATGATGCTTAAATAAAACAAGGTTTCAAATTTCTATTCCACGAATTGTTTGTATATAATTTCTCATTGCAAGTATTTCCTTCAGTTAAATCTATCAATACAAAAGTCTTTACTTATAACATTGACTAAACAGTAAACCTATATGAGAATAGTTAAGAAAGAGGACCATGTAAGAATGCTGAAGACTGATCAATCCATTTGTTCAAAACAAAAGCTTGAGTTTTAGGTATTTTCTCTTTATGACTCCAGTGACCCCTTGATACACCAATTGAATATATTTCAAAAGGCTTGACAAAGGACCCTCTGAGGCTGCTACAAACCTTATTTTGCGATGTTCAGTTCTTTAATTCATAACATATAACACAGTATCAAACCTAAAATACTTATAGCTCACTTTAAATCTTCTATTCTGGTAAGCTTATAAATGTCTTATAGTCAATAAGAAATATAGATTGCCCTTTACTTCAAAATATAAACAAATGGATAAATGTCACTTCCACTTACCCTCAATTTCCTGCCATGATATTGCCACCTCTCCTATTGGAATGTTAAATGTTTGAGCTAGATATAACAAATCTACATCAAAAGCCCTGGAAAAAGAAGATTATGATATTACATTTCTAAAATTCAATGTAAAGCTGAATGAAAATTAGTCTTATTTAACTAAGATACTGTCTGAGCATAGTATCTATTTTTTGTTGCTTACATCAACATAATGATATTAAAATCACTGAATATATAATTAAACTCATACAAGATTTAAATTCAAATGTAGAAAGTTACTTTACTACTTTTCAGCTATATTTGGAAGGAGAATAAAAATGTGGTTATCAGGATATGTCACTCTGTAAAACAGTCAGACACAACATGGTAACTGAGAATACTTATAAATCTGTTGAATACAATACCTGCACTGTATTCATCTTATGCGAATTTTTTTTACAGAAAATGGAAAATGCAATGAATATAACATCAATAAATCAACTTACCATCTCTCTACATGTAGATTTGAGAAAAGTAAAATAGCTGCCTCTCTTGTTAATAATTTAAATCCACACTGTGTATCTTTAACTCCTTTCACACACAGAAAATACACCAAGAAGTGAAAACCATACATTAAGACTGTTCTGAAAAATGATCTCTGAAACAGAAAGAAATTTAAATGAGTTATCTTATTTTCCTCTAAACTGTTTACAGCAAAATCTTAAAATGTTGGGCTAGAATGGTGTTTTGTTTCTAAGTTTTAATTAATTCAACTGAAAACAATGCGGGTAACTTAAATTCTATACTGTTTTGTTTTCTAATATAATATTAAGAGGTTTCTTTTAGGTTTTTCCTTTATTTACATCATGGGTCTGGCAATACTTTTATAGTATAAATGACCAGCAAAAAAGAAGCACAACCCTTGATACTTGATGTTGTGTCTATACTTATCACAAATCAATTTGAGAAGTTATGAAACACAAACCTAGTGTTCAGAAAAAACAGTTTTAACATGCACCCAGACAAATCAAAAGGAAATAGGTGTATCAAACTTACAAATGATTTTAAACATGCAAACATTTAGAGACCTCGAGGTACTGAAAATTCTACCCAAAATATTCAACCTACTTATATGTAATAAGCAAAACTAGAGAAAATAATATCTAAGCATGAAACATAAAAATTTTACTTAAATGAATTTGCTGCAATTAAAGTAGCTACATGTCAGCTCACCTGTGCTATTGAATCTTTTTCTAAATGTGCACGAGATCCACAGACTACTGCCATATTATCAGAATTTTTTTGCTTTGACAGTTCTGCCTCTAGCTTACTAAGATCACTAAATTTACTAGCACCATCTGCATCAGCAAACAAAAGTTGTTTCCCTCTAGCAACAAACATACCCTGTAAAACAATATAACCAGATCAACATAAATGTGAATATCATAGTTATAATAAGTATGACAAGTGGAATTTAAAACGTAAACATCACTAGCAGATTAATCACGTCAATGTTTACAGAAAGGTTTTAGGTTAAAGAGCAAAATTAAGAACTTGCATACATTCAATTTTAAATACTTTCAAATCACACTCATGCATTATTATCATCTTCAAATGACTTCTAATTTGCATTAACCATACAATATTAAAATGAATGCATGTATATATATATGAATTCCGTATTTTTCATATAAAATATTGATTTGCTCTATCTTGCAGTCCAACAACCCATATGCAAGTAGAAAATTTAGATAAACAGTCCAACCTTCAATAAAAGATGATAAAATGAGAATATACCAATCGTATAGCACCTCCTTTCCCTCTATTCTTCTCTAGTGTAAGAACTCTCACTTTTTCTGTACCATATGTTTTACTGTATTTAAGGGCAGTCTGTAAAATATATACAAATTTGTTGAATAATCACATATTTATTTCAACTATATAATTCTGAATACAATATATGTGTATCACATATATGTAACTTATTTTTTAAAATTAAAATTTAAATCTTAACTACATTGTTATTATTATTAAATCTTACTAGAAGACAAAACATTTCAGTTTTTACAGGCCCAAGCAAACCATCTTGTGTTGAAAAGTAGAATACTCCAACACGTTTCCTTAATAAGACTGCAGTACTGTAATCTTAACAGTGTAAAATTTGAAGTTTTATTTACAGTAATATCTAAATTCAGGCAGGAATTCCAAGCAATTAAGTTTCAAAAGATACAATTTGTGTACATGTATATAGAAATGTAAGTAAAGGGGAAATAACTCACCTCTGTGGTTTTATCAGTACTGCCATCATTCACTACAACTATTTCATAACTAAATGATCGGTTCTTTTTCTGAAATAAAATAAGTTGAATATATAGTTATTACCTAAAAGAAACTGCAAATGTTATTTAAATTCAAAGTAGATAAAAAGTAACTTAATTGACAAAAGTTCACAACTTCAGTCATAACTAACTTTAATGATACACGCTGCATCTGATTAGAAAAGTGTACATGTATAAATAACAATCAAAATGCTGAATTTAAACATCTATCTTTCAGATGGAAATTTTATATTTTCATTTTAGGTAAAACACTCCAGCAATAATGTTACATGAATTTTCAAAACATCTTTTATTAGACTTTTTTCTGACGTAAGACACTTTGTACTTGTATGAATGTGATATACACAGTTTATACAAAAATAAGTATAGGTGTATAATTATATATGTACCTGTCTAGCTTCCAAGAAATCTAATGCTTCATCCATCATTGTAGGCACTGAAACAGAAACCATTTCTATAAAATCATAGATTTACACTTGTCACTGGTAATAAATCAATTACTCTTAAATTACAGTGCATAAAAAAGGATATTCATATTACTAACGGAAGTTATGGAATTTTGCCTTTTTTTTTTCTTAAGCTTTTCATATACCTTGAGAAAATTTATTTATGTTCTTTATGCCACAATTCAAAACTGTTCATTATTTAGGGGAGAAAACATGTAAGGTGCCAAATAGCTTAGTCGGTACAGCAGCGCAACAGTATTCCGAGGTACCGGGTTAGAGATCCAGTCAAGCTGCATATTTTTCTCACCCTGTGACATTTATTAGTAAATAATGATGACAATGTAAATCCTTCATGACTTAAATCTTTCTTACATCTCTCTTCCTCAAAGTATGCTGGCACAATAACTGATAGGTCCATACTTGGTGGGTCATGTATACTTGGAAACCGGAGTTTCTCATTTTTCGATGGATCTTCATAAAATTTCTCACTTTCATATCTTCCAAGATTGGGATATGGTTTTGATGTTATATAAATTCCAATTACAAGCTGAAACAAGGTAAAATGAAAACATTAAAATCAATAAAATTTTAAAAATATAACAACATTAACATCTTTTATCATAAAAATGGTATTACACAGCGGTGCATATATTTTGATGTGACATCAACTACTATATATAAATAAAAAAATATAGTGTAAAGACGCACAAAATGTTAGCCATACACTATAGGCACATCAATGAAAAATGGTTCATTTTTAACATTCTAGATTTTGGGTATGTGATAAATAGAATATTATATTCTTGTAGGTTCATTACTGAATTTTTTTAAGTTGTTAAATAATGAAATATCATGGCATAATATAATTTTATTAAACTCTTTCAATAAATTCAGTATCAAACCTACACTCATTCAATATCTGCTATATATCATTTTATGTCACACAATACGAAAGCTTGCATGTTTTGGAAAAGTATAAAGTCTTATTCAGAAGTAAATATCAGCTGCAGCTGTAAACTTTGCTTTTAAATTTACTTAATATTCAAAATGCAAACTGTACACATTAACTTTACAAATAATTTGCATATTTTAGTAAAACAACTTCATTACAGGTAACGTTATCAAAGACAAGCAATGTCATTTGAATTCATCATTAACAAGGACTTCTCTGACATGTTGTTGTAACTTTCACTTTAATCTTTTTTCTTTCAAAGATACTACAGTTACATAAAGTATTCTTATTGTTTGTAGTCTTTCAGAAGATCTAGGTACACCATGATGTATACAAGTTTTGCTGTCAAAGACATTAAGAAAAACAAAACCAAAACAGTTGTTCATTAACTTTTTACAAAACCCTTGAATTGACAGTAAGTCATTATGCTCAACTGTAGTCGGTGCTTGATAGTTTAACATCACAAACACTTGGGGGTCAGATCCTGCCCCTCAACGTGATACGCTCTTGTAAACATTCTTATCAAAAATATTTTAATATTTAAACACGAATGGGACATCTGTTACAATGATAATCTTTACTTTATTGATACTAGATGGCAACTGGTATTTTTTTCATATGTATAAAAATAGTTTGAAAACCAGTTTGTATGCCCATTCGTGTTTAAATATTAAAAATATTTGATAGAGTGTTTACACATGTGACCCACAGGTGTCTGTGTTGAACATGAGCCCAGTGTAGCGTCATAATTACATGGAATATATTTACTATAAGCTGGTTTAGTTATTGCCCTTTCCTTTTTCATCTCTTTTGAAACTCATTTGTAAATGTTCACTCCCCAAAATTTTGTTATTTAACTACAACTAATACTTGAGTCGAAGGTTCAATGTCTTGAAGCCTTTACAGTTTTGTTGTATATTTTCAATTGATGATTTGACATCTTAAGTTCACCCCTAAAGTATTGAATGATATATATACCAACCCTGTTTAAAGAATGAAAATTTGAGAAGCTTAGCTGCATCAGCCTGCTTATCATCATAATCAACATTTTAATTTTCTTCAATATAATAAAGTTAATTATTATAATAGACTTAATTACTTATAATAAATGTCACCCTTCAGAACAGCTCATTATTTAATGGAAAAGATGTGTAAGCAGCCGAATAGCTCAGTCTGTAGAGCTGTGGTACCGTATTCCGAGAGTCCTGGGTTCGAGTCCAATCGTCAAGCTGCACATTTTTCTTACCCTGTGGCATCAGGCACGCAACTGGGGACCGTGGCTGGACATAGCGTTTAATTAGCATTGCTCAGTAACCCTGAGGAATTCAGGACAATTTTCAATATAGCAAGGGAGTATGTCACATTTCAGAAAGGTTCAATATTTAGGAGAGAGAATGCATAAGCGACGGGCAGCACGAAATACCCAAATACACCCAAATATACCCAAATATTGCCCAAATATACCCAAATAATGCCTAAATATACCCAAATATTGTCCAATTATACTAAAAATAACTGTTTTATACTAAAAAAGTGCTGTTTTAATCATGAATACAATATACACTTTCACTAAGATATAATCAAACATACCCAAATATACATTTTCCTATCATTGTGTTTTGAACCAAGATACAGTATATGTACTCCATTAAAGCTTTTTTTTAAAAACATGGACTTCTTCCTCTATTATGATATGAAATTTCAACAAAATTACACCTTAAAAATGTAAGTGTAGACAACAAATATCATATCTTGAATTAAAATTGCATTCATAAGGAAGCGATATTGTGATAAGCAAATGTCACAACTTTATTTTCTTACAACATCTTAACTGCCCATTTCAACGGAATGAATGAAAGTTATAGCAGGCTATGTCATATCATTTTATAAATATTTATTTATTTCTCATTATAATCTATACTTTATACAAAGAAAAATAAATATTGCTATATTTGGGTATATTTGGGCAATATTTGGGTATATTTGAGTGTATTTGGGTATATTTGGGTATATTTGGGTATTTCGTGCCGCCGTAAGCGACTGGATAGCTCAGGCGGTAGGGCCGTAGTACAGAATTCGGAGGATCCCGGGTTCGGGACTCTGTCAAACTGCACATATTTCTCACCCTGTAACATAAATAATAATTCAGAAATCTATGATTTGGAACTGATAAAACTGTAAACATTGAAAACGATAACAATTACCCCACCCACCATAACGTAAAGTTGCATCAGATCAGCTGCGGTGTATACCTTTAACAAATGCATTCAAGAAATAAACATATACATATATCTGACACTTACAACAACTAAAAACACTAAAGCCAGAACTGCCAAAGCCCAGAAAATAGATGCTAACGTGATTTCCATCGTTCACAGCTGCAAAACACGGAAGTTGAAAATGCCACGACGCCGGTCAATGGACACAATTTAATCCCGTGAAGTATCCGTACCATACCGTACACGTCCGTGACTGGTGCAGACGATTTTTTATTCTATAACCATAATTTTGATAGTGGAAATTTTTTTTTATATAATTTCATCGGTGGTTTTGTATTTGGTACCTTATAGTAAGCCTTAGAGTGTTGATTTTTTTTTCAGGGTTGTAGTAGGGGTCCAGGAGCAGATAGGGGTGGGGTGCCCAAACACTGATACTGCCACCTGTGGTCCCAGGTACATGTAAAAACGTGGTGTTAGACCACAAAATGCCATTTTAAACCAAGTTGGATTGTTGGTAGGAAGCTGTTCCAAGATTTCTTTTGTGTTTTTCTTATAAAATTTTGCCATAAAATTGCAGCTTTTTATGAAAAGTTGAAAACTATGGAAATGTACCAGAATGTTTTGTGATTGTTTGTATACAAGTGTCATATAAAATATGTAACATGTGGCAAAAAAAGAAAATGTAATGCATTTAGTCAAGCGATCACGAACATTGAAGAAAGCCAGTAACATTTTTAATGAAGACAGACATTAGACAATGAATGTAAACTGAAAATTAGTCTTAAGGACATGGATGCCCCCATAATATATGTTAGGACACAGAATAGTATATCATCAGTATGAACTAGAACTGCCACTGTCATGGCATGAATACCCCCGCATACCACTTTGTCAGAATCAACAGTGGCCATTTAGAACTCAAGGACAACCACCCGGCCAAATCTGAGGTTACTAAGCCAGTGCATTGCTAAGATATGTATTCTCCATGCTTCAAATGTGAAAATTTTAAAATCAAGTTTTTTAGTCAAGGCCCCTGTGACCTTGACCTTTGACCCAGTGACCTCAAAATCAATAGGGGTCATTTACTAATCATGACTAACCTCTATGCCAAATATGAAGACTGAGTCAAAGGAATATCAAGTTATTGGGCAGACAAGCTTTTTAAAGTCAAGGCCCCTGTGACCTTGACCTTTGACCCAGTGACCCCAAAATCAATAGGGGTCATCTACTAATCATGACTAACCTCCATGCCAAATATGAAGACTGTGGGTCAAAGGAATCTCAAGTTATTGGGCGGATAAGGTTTTTTTAGTCAAGGCCCCTGTGACCTTTGACCAAGTGACCCCAAAATCAATAGGGGTCATCTACTAATCATGACTAACCTCCATGCCAAATATGCAGACAGTGGGCCAAAGGAATCTTAAGTAATTGGGCGGACAAGGAAAAACTGACTGCGGGACGGGAGACGTCCGGACGGACAAGCTGTATACCCCCCTTACAACTTCGTTGAGCGGGGGTATAATAAAGATGTTATGAAAGTAAAGCATTGATTATCACAATTGCTTTTGCCAACTGACTTCAAAATCCCTTGATGCATGACAGAGTTATGGCCCAAACAAGATTTTCTTACTGCTGATTTTTTATCTCTACATGTGACCATGGCCTTGGAGCTAAAGGTCTTGGGTATTACTCATAACACATCGTCTATCATGCTACACATTTGTGCCAAGTTATTTTAAAATATCTTGATGCTTGACAAGTTATTGGCTGGACAAGCTTTTCTTACCTCTAAGTGTGACTTTGAACTTAGAGCTAGGGGTCTAGTTCTTGCGCAAAACAAACCATCTCATTAAACTTCACAATTGGCTCAGTTATTGGAGTCATGGGCCAGAGAATATTTTCTAACTGTTGACCTTTGACCTCTTAGTGTGACTGACCTTGGAGCAAAAGGTCAAGGCACACTATCTCATCATTCTTAACATTTGTGCCGGGTTATTTTAAAATCCCTTGATACTTGACAGTGTTATTGACTGGACAAGGTTTTCTTACTGCTGACCTTTGACCTTGGGCTCCAATTCTTAACATGACAAACCATCTAATTTTTGATGCTACATAGTTAGGCAAAGTTCTTTCAAAATCTCTTGATGCATGGACCAGAGAATATTTCCAGCTGCTGACCTTTCCTTGACCTGGAGCAAGGGGTCTAGGTCTAATGCTTGACACAATATCAGTTCTCATCATGCTGAACATTTGTGCCAAGTTACTCACGCATGCACACACACTTGGACAGAGAGGGTAACACTATAATTATGCGCCCTTGCTATTATAATGGTGGGGGCATAAAAATTCAATGTGCTGAGCTTTTCAAAAGTCAATTGGTGTATGTTTTGTATAAGTTGGTGGCTTTATCCTACACAAAGGTTGGTGGCTTTATCCTACACAGAGGTGATACATTGAAATTGAGAAACAATTGAGATAATGTTATGTAACAAAATCATGGTGTTGGAGCATGGGCCGCATTGCGTTACTAGGTAGTTTTATAATTTGTTCTGTGTAATCAGATCAAGCAATATTGTGCTGGTTTCTTGCATGTATACTCAGTGATAGCATATCAAATATTAGTAACAAGTGCACCGCTAGGCAGAGCATTATATGCCCGAAAGTGATTTTTTTTTTAGTAAAGATGAAGCATTTGTAAAACATTGGAATAAAATAAAGTATTACCTCCTTCAAATAACAATCCTCCTATGAAGTTTGAATATTGTGGTCCAAATGGAACTTAAGTTATCCCCCGGAAACTGTTTTCAGTTTTAAGGTAATAGTGACCTTGACCTTTGACCCAAAATCAATTGGGGTCTTCTACCTAATATGGACAATCATCCTATGAAATTTGAATATTGTGGGCCGAATGGAACTTTAGTTAGGCTCACGAAACTGTTTTCAATTTCAAAGTAATAGTGACCTTGACCTTTGACCTTGTGACCCCAAAATCAAGAGGGTTCTTCTGCCCAATATCATCCTATGAAGTTTGAACACTGTGGGCCAAATGGAACTTAAGTTATGCTCCAGAAATTGTTTTCAGTTTTAAGGTAATAGTGACCTTGACCTTTGACCTTGTGACCCCAAAACCAATAGGGGTCTTCAACCCAATATGGACAATCATCCTATGAAGTTTGAACACTGTGGGCCAAATGGAACTTAAGTTATGCTCCGGAAACTGTTTTCAGTTTTAAGGTAATAGTGACCTTGACCTTTGACCTTGTGACCCCAAAACCAATAGGGGTCTTCTACCCAATATGGACAATCATCCTATGAAGTTTGAACACTGTGGGCCAAATGGAACTTAAGTTATGCTCCGGAAACTAGTTTTAAGGTAATAGTGACCTTGACCTTTGACCTTGTGACCCCAAAATCAATAGGGGTCTTCTACCCAATATGGACAATCATCCTATGAAGTTTGAATATTGTGGGCCAAATGGAACTTAAGTTATGCTCCGGAAACCAAATTGCTAACGGATGGACGCCAGGGGGTATAACATAATATGCCTGAAATTCTTTCGGGCATATAAAAATTTGAGTATAACAGTAATGTCCATGATGTTTTTTGCTTTTAATACCATTGGCAATATATTATTTCCCTTTACTACACATCAAAAGGAACACAATGCACATGTCACTCACAAGGCAAGTACTATTTCAACACTTTCAGGGACATACTACATAATAATTTTTATATATATTTTTTGTTCTTTTTTATACAAATTACATGTATATTAAAACAAAAATTTTATACATATTTAACCCATTTATTACGATATAAAATACATAATTAACTTTAACATGCTTTGGACACTTCATAAAATATCAAATTTTTAAACATGTTTAGAAAGTTTTAGGAGAATTTTCTTCCTGATATATAATTTCATCTGTTTACATTAATATAATGTTAGAAAAGAATACTGTACAAATATAATTATATATCTTTCATTTTCACACTATTTGAATCATTACAGAAATATTTAAAGTATCTTGTATTTGGGTTGAACAAAAATAAGGCTATGAATAATACAGTTGCAGACATATAAAAGTTAGCACTGAGCTCTAAATATGTGATATATTATCATAGTTTTTAGGTATACCCTAGTTGACTCCTAAATGTAATATCATGGAACATACAGCACACATTGGTACTTTTTTATCAATGTAAGTATATGCTTTTCTTCATAACACTCATTAACATGCTATTTCAAAATTTAAAAAAAAATGTCATTAGTTGATATAAAAACATTACTAAATAAAAAATCCTATTTCCTGACTTCATGAAAACATAAGAAAATATGTACCGGTATGTTACAGAAATACAGAAAAAATTTCTTTCCAAACAATATACAAGTATTTAGAATATAAAAAACTTTATATTTGCTAAAACAAAAGAAATTGATAATTGGCATTATTTTCATTAAATAAACATCAAGCAGCCAAAAATCACCTATGGTAAGTATCGAGGGTTCCAGGCATTGCAATCCTTACTAAAACTAAAGTTAAAAGACATGGCAAAAACCTGGTTATGCAGGGATTTTTTTGGCTTATTTTATAGCCGTCATTGGGTCATACTCCCATTTGAAAATAATATTATTTTCCCAATCCACAAGAAAATATTCACAATTAAAAGTTAGAAAATAAAAATATTGATTAAAGAATTCTAAAATCTTTGAAAACAAGAGGGCCATGATGGCCCTGAAATCGCTCAACTGTATATAAGTTCTTCACTAGAAGATATTTCATGATTAGTATCTTAATTCTAGCTCTTTGGATTTTTAAAAGAAGATTTATTAAGTTTTTACTATACACATATAAGGAAAATCAATGACCCCAGGACGGGGCCAATTTTAACCCCAGGGCCCTTATTTGAACAAAATTGGTAGACATCCATTAGAAAATGTTTTCATGCTAAATATTTAAGCTCTAGCTCTTAGGTTTTTTTTAAAAGATATTTTTAAAGTTTTTACTATATACACTACAGGTGTTTCATAATATGTGATACACTTTCAAATAATTGTTGCTTTACTGATTTTATAGCTACAAACAAAATGCTTATACCAAAGTAAACTAGACACTTCACCATTTTTAATGTAACGAAACTTACTGGAAAACGTTAACGTCATGACGTCATGTATGACGTCATTATTATCTGTTATTTTCAAGATGGCGTTGTCCATGGAAA